GAGGATCCTCCCAGACAGTTGGAAGACTGCCCAGCGGCCTGTGCTCTGACCCTGCGTGGTGACCTTCCCTGACGCTTTACCCCTTAAGTGCTATTAAAACTTCTATGCACGTTATGACCGTGTGGGCAGCCTTCTTGTTTTCCACCATCCTTTAACCATAAGAGGGGAAGCCTCTAATCAGGCAAGCCAATCCTGACCGATAATGCAGGGGAATGACATGAGCACATCTGCCTTTCCAAAAGATTCCCCAGACTGCCTGTTGAGAACAGACTTGGTGTTTCCCTACTTCCAAAAGCCCAAGTAGATAAAGGAAAGGTTTTCTGAGGGTCGGCAGGCTGGCCTGAGAAGCTTAAGTTCCAAACATTACCTGCTGTGTCTCTGATTTGTCAGTAGGCAAGTAATATAAACAGAGGTTCACCATTATCACCATTATCATCATCATCATAGTTTGGGATCAACAGAAAACCTAGCTCCAACAAGTGCTTCCCCAAAGTCATGCGGCTACATTCTAATGTGCCTCTGGGTATAGACACTAGTGCCAACCACAGTGACAGAGAATATGCTCAGAGAAAAGCAACACTAACTCTGGCAGTTATTTGGCTCATTTTCCAGAATTCATCTTAAAAACAACAGCATGATTTGGTAACTAAAGATGGTGGAAAATCCTGGCAACTTGCAAAATCATTGCTGGACCTATAGCAAACACACCATGTTTAGCAGCACTGTCCCTTGAATACGTTTTCTATGCTTGCATAGGAACATCTGTGTTTACATCAGGGAATGGGAAATACAGGCACAAAAGAGAAACAACTAAATAGGATTAAAAAGCTAGCATCACAGTTTGATGTGGCATCTAATAACAAAGAGGGGGCCAAACCTCATGACTGGTAGTTATACAAAATGGGTAAACACATTGGAATCAAAATAAAAACCAACTCGGACAATAAAGAAAAATCTTTTGAGTATTAGCAACGCAATTGTACGCCTAGTGTGTCTCCTTTTCTCTCTTTTGAACGTATATGCTTACTTAGGGGAATGAGGAGGAAGAGGTTACATAAAGAAATGAGCAGTGACAGAGGGCACAATCTTGTTGGCAGGTAACCTCCAATAAACAGAGTACGTAGTGACAGCCCATAAAATGGAAAAGAAAGCATATGGAAATCTCTAAGGTCTGCACTAAGGAGAAAGGGAGCATTGAAGGAATAGGTGATGGACAGAGTAACAACCCCTAGATCTCACCGTATGTAATGATCAGAATCCCAAACAGGCAAACTCAGTGTGATTAAACCTGCTGTTGATATCATGTGAGAGATGATACAAGCATACCTATGGCTGTAGAAAGAACTCTGGGCTGCCATCAGAACTCAGCTAAAGGGACAGGAGATCAAAGAATCCAGTGTGGTTTTACTGCTTCTCATGACTCAAGTTTCAGTAGCATGTACAAATATACGAAAGATAGCAATTTTGCCTAAGATGCAATGAAAATAAAAATCTTACGCTGTAATAATTAATGTGATTTTTTCCAATATTCTCATTCAAATAGAGTGTGTTGCGTTGCTAAAATGATGACTAGAAAATTAATTGCAATTTTCTGTTCACAGATCCATTAGTGTCTGTCATTAGCCAACTACACCAGCCATATTCAAGTGGCCTTAAAAATGAACAAATGCCTGATCCTTGCACTAAAAAACCCATTGCCACCGTGTCAATTCTGACTCACAGTGACCCTATAGGACAAAGTAAAACTGCCCCATAGGGTTTCCAAGGCTATAAATCTCTGTGGAAGCAGACTGCCGCATCTTTTTCCCATGGAGCAGCTGGTGGGTTCGAATTGCCAATCTTTCGGTTAGCAGCCAAGCGCTTTAACCACTGTGCCACCAGAACTCCTTGATCCTTGCACTAGGCCCCACAAATTATGTAACTGGTCATGCATTTACTGTCCTGTAAACTGCTTATCTACAAAGCAGTAAGTTTGGTGCCAAGGAAGAATAACGATGTGCTTAAAACATAGCCTCAGTACTGAAAAATTTATCATCTAGAAGTGGAAACAAGTTTAGACTGGTCTAACAGAGACTGGAGGTACCTCAAGAGTATGGCCCCTGGACTACCTTTTAACTCAGTACTGAAGTCACTCCTGAGGTTCACCCTTCAGCCAAAGATTAGACAGGTCCATAAAACAAAACGAGACTAAATGGGCACACTAGCCCAGGGCAAAGATGAGAAGCCAGGAGGGGACAGACAGGAAAGCTGGTAACCAGGAGCCCAAGGTCAAGAAGGGGAGAGTGTTGCCATGTCGTGGGGGTGGCAACCAATGTCACAAAACAATATGTGTATTGATTTTTTAGTGAGAAACTAATTTGCTCTGTAAACCCTCATCTAAACTACAATTTAAAAAAATTGAACTAAAATTTTAAGAAAAAAAAAAGAAAGAAAGAAGTTTAGAGTCAAATTATTACAAAACAAGTAGAAAATGAGACATGCAGTAGATATGAGGCTCCAGAAGAGAAAAAGGTTACTTCTGGGTGAAATAAGGTAAGTGTCTGTGGAAGAAGTAGCATTTAGTTGGATCTGAAAAGAAGAGGGGTATTTGAACACTGATGATGGGGAAGATAGGCAGAAAGGCAGTGTGCTGTACAAAAGCATGGGAAAGCATGAGCACATAGAATTATCTGGTTTATCTGGGATAAGAAGAAACCAGGTTTAAAAAGTAGGTTGGCGTTGGCCGTGGGGGAGCCTTGAATGTTCAGCTGATGAGGTGGCAAATAATTCAACAGTAGTTGGAGCCACTAAAGGATTGTTTAAAAAAAAAGCATCATAGAGGAGCACTGGTGGCACAGAGGTTAAATGCCTGGCTGCTAACTGAAGGGTCAGTGGTTCAAACCCACCAGCCGCTCCGCAGAAGAAACATGAGGCAATCTACCTCCCTAAAGATTACAGCCTTGGAAACCTTATGGGGTATACCGTTCTACTCTGTCCTATAGGGTTGCTATGAGTCAGAATCAACTTGATGGCAGTGGGTTTGGTTTGATTTGGTCTGTTTGGTAGAGAGACAACCAGTGAGTCACACTCTACTTTAGAAAGATTAAAGCTGGTCCCCGGCAATGCTGGTAATCCTATCATTTCTCTAGAAGAGAAGCCCAGTACTACATTTACAAACAATGTGGACTTGATGTTTAACTGAGTAGACACATGCAAAGTGACCACAAAGTTAGCACCTATTTTTCTTTAATTGAACCAGTTAAACTCTACCTGCTCTTATCTGATGAACAAACATTGTTTACTCACTCTGAAGGGCCAACTTAAAGCAAACAAAGGCACCTCTGAGAATACTACAAAAACAAACGTCTACTCAAACTCATTTTAAAAAAAAAAAGTGCAATAGCTTCACACGGGACAGCATTGGACTTGGTTCTTTCCTTGCAAAAACAGACTTATGAAAGCTGAAATCAACATCATTTAATCATTTCATTGGTGACCAACTGAGATCTTTCTTTATTAGAGATGCATCAGAAGAAAATAATAATTCTTGTACTTTAAGGCTTAGAAAATGAGTATTCTACCTATCTATCTATCTGGAGCCCTGGTGGCACAGTGGTTAAGAGCTTGGCTGCTAACCAAGAGGCTGGCAGTTCGAATTCACCAGCCATTCCTTGGAAACCCTAGGAGGCAGTCCTATAGGGTCTCGATGAGTCAGAATCAACTTGATGGCAATGGGTTTATTTGTTTGTTTTGATCTATCTATCTATATCTATCTATCTGTCTATCTATCTCAGTTGAATAAGTTCTCTTGCAAACCATCGTAAACTCTAAACAGAAATTTACATTTCCACCTCTCCTAAATGTTTCATCCAAACACATTGAGGAGGGGGAAAAATACACCCTACTGAGAGAGTAATATTTCAATATATTATTACTTGATATTCAGATTAGAATTTTATTATCCCTTTAGCTGTAATATAAAGGAAAGGTTTTAAATGGAAATGAAAAATGTATAAAAGATGAAGCAGAAACAAAACAAATTAACTACACGAAATACCCAAGGAATATTAAAACTGAATCTTAAGACAATTCCATAGCTATCTGTTGAGATATATCACTGAAAGAAAAGGTGAATTTGATGTTTTTAATCCATTTTAACCATTTATTTACCACAAATGAAAATATAAAATAAAAAAGCCAATATTCTAGCTCTCAAAAATGAAATCTGTTACATGCCCCTTTATCTCACATAATCCGCACATTATTATCATATTAATGGTTCTGTTTCAAAAGAAAAAAATACAAACTAACTGCTTTTTGAAAAAAAAGTCATCAGAACTGCCAATATCCTTTTCAATAATAAAATAATACATTTTCTTTAAAATCAAATAAGCTTCAAGACATAAAAATTAATTCAGTGAATATCATGTGTATTCTTAAGAAATGAAAAGGTGGCTTTTTACTCCAAATTTCCTCCCTATATTAAGTTATTATGGTAATATACGATATCAAGGAAAGAAAAGGCTTTTGATATTTCAGAACTGCAACATTAAATGAATTTAATTTGGGAAATTAAACTCAGGATTAAAGGATAATAAATTTCTTTTTGGAAATTTTCCATCTTACTCATCTGACCTTTAATATCAAATCTGATACAACAAGAGATGACTCAGCCTTACAATGTGGGTCGGTTTAGAAGAGGTACAATAAATTATCTTAAACAATAAATAGTTAGAGATGAATGCAATATTCTCTTTTATTCAAGAAAATTCTCATTTGTTTCTCTGAGCTGAACTCTTCTGTTGAGATAAATTTCAGTAGCAGAATATATGTGATGAATCTCTGAAGTTCTGACTTAATCACATATGAAAATTGGCACTGGAAATATAAAGAAGCCAGTCCAAAGCCTGCATACTATTAAGAATGAGATATGGGCAAGAAGTCTTCATTGCACTGTAATTTCAGATAGAAGAATCAAAAGACAATAAATGCTCTCAAAAGGAGGAAAAAAAGCACCCTACCTTTTTAAAAATTCCATATATTCGGTATGCTTGATGAGTCCTGTTCTCATCATTATTGTTTGAAAACATTGTCGATCAATGGCCCAGAGTTTCACATTTACAAGAGCTGGAGAAAAAGAAAAAGAAAACAAACAGGGATAAATTAATTAGAGAATTTCAACTGTGAACATCCTCCTACAGAAGAGATGGGTAATTCATGAGAAGTATGAAAATGATTAACCTTTTACACACATTTAAAACTAACACCATACTGCTGTCCTGTTTTCTTAAAAAGTTTGGTAGGCTTACAGGGGAAAGTGTACTTCATAATTTTCCATACTAGTTTATTGTCTAGTAGGAAGGTTCCTGTTGTTCTTAGGTTCCTAAGGGAATAAGAGTATCTAAGTACACATTGAAAATATTGAATAATTTCAAGACTATGTATAACGGGAATCACAAGGAAACAAAGAAAGATGCACAAGTAATAACACTCCCTGGTAATTACCCAGGGTGGTGTTAATAACTCATATGATCATATTTTCATCGTTAAAAGTAGGGGTAAAAATTCAATTTTCAGGTTCAGGGGTGAATTTAATATAGTAGAAATAATTACACAGCCATTTCTACACAAAGCTTATGTTACAAATTATAACCCGTGGCCAAAGTTACCACATGAAGTTACATTAGATATGTTTGTTCAATTTTAATTTCTAGTCCTACACACTACTACCTTTGACAACACACAATTAAGTGTTGAAACCACATACCACAGAACTTCACCATTTGATCAATCTACTAAGCACATGACTAACAGACAAGTTTTAGAAAATGATAAAAAGACACATATTATAGTGTTTGACAGATCAATATATCAAGGCCATTTGGCTTTAAAAGATGAGCACAGTAAAAGTCTTGGCAATTGGAATCCGTGTGATGAGTGTATGAGAGATTAATTATACTATTCTTTCTACTATTATGCATGTTTACAGATCTTCATAAAAGAAAATATTTTAAGTCAGCACATGTAGTAAACAAAGTCAATTCACATATAACATGGGGTATGGGATAGAGAAGCGGTGTGTAAGGGTATGATCAAGACCATTGCAAGGGACCCAGATAACGATAATGAGCCAGACATAAAAAGATGTAAGAATGCAATTCTCTCTTCTTCACAGACTTCAGACTAAACCCAGTGAATATGATGGATCAAGATTTGTGGGTATGGAAGGAGAATAATTAGGCCATGTGTGTGCCTTTTGCAGCTGAGTTAGAAGTAACACACAGAGGAACAGGGGAGAAGGAAGATAAAGGAAGTATCATACTCCAGAGTAAGCCCCATCCTTGAATTTCACCTAGTTCTTCCTTGAGAAAATTTTGAGGCTAACCGACTAGAGCATGACTGCTCCCTGATAAGCTCTTTATCGGAGGAAAACAGGTACTAATTTAAGTAGAAAAAGAACAAAGCAGCAAGGACTGGTGTGTGCATGGCTCCATCCCAAATATCATTTAAAAACTGATACTCCTTCAAAAAAAAAAAACAGAAACAAAAAAAACCTCATCTCACAGGTGTTCTCAGGCCATATTCTAGTCCCTCTGCTGAATCCAGGCTCTTTTCCAGAATACCTGTTTACTTGAGACAAACTATAGCCATGAAGGCCTGGGATAATCAGGAAAAGGCTCATAAGATGTGGAACTGGAAGTAGGACATTAAACAATGATAGGAGGTGAGCTAGGAGAAGGATGAGCTGGGAGGAAGATGAGGAAAGTTTATAACAAGAGCACAGCTGGGAAAAAACTGGGGCTGCGAGAGTCCACTCAGAAAAACAGACCGAAATGGCTGAGATTTCTGTAGAAGAGCTATAGTTTGAGTAAGTTTACACAGGGTCCTGAAAGCCAGGGTGATGAATCAAGAATTCACTGGATGGACAACAGAAAGCTATGGAAGATGCTAAAAAAAAAAAAAACAAGAACCAATATTTAAAATAATACACCAAGGGTGCATCAAATTTTTTTTAATGCCAAGCAAAAAAAAAATAAAAATAAAGTTTCCTGCATTCATCATTTTTAATGGTTCCTAGGTATTTCACAGAATAGATATACCTCCCCTTGAAGGACAAAGTAGGATGCTCCAACCAATTTTGTTAATAAAAAAAATCAGCAATAAAAATATTTGTAATTATTGATTTTTAAGTGCCCCTTAAATAAATTCTTAGAAGTGGGATGGAATGTCTAACTGAAGTAAGCACACATACGATTTAAGGCTTTGCTCTGCAGAAAGACTTATAACAAATGTATACGCTCAACAGCAGTATATCTTAACCACTGTGCTTGCTATCAAGCACAAGTATATTAAGAACACCTATCACACAGAAGGAAACCCTGGTGGCAGAGTGGTTAAGAACTATGGCTGCTAACCAAAAGGTTGGCAGTTTGAATCCACCAGGCGCTCCTTGGAAACTCTATTGGGCAGTTCCACTCTGTCCTATAGGGTCACTGTGAGTCAGAATTGACTCGACGGCAACTTGTACCAAATGCTAGGAGACCATGAATCTGTTCAGCTTTAGTTCTACTGGGAAATTTATCTGTAGTCCCATTCAAAGTTTAGAAGACTGCAGAGTAGTCATATATGAGTAAAAAGCACTAAAGATGCAAATATATATTTAGTTCATAATTATTTAACACCAATATGGCAGACCCTGGTGCCAGATGTAAGGAATGGAAAACAAAATTATAGTTCCTGCCCTCAAGAAACTTATGGTCTAGTACAGAAGTCGACAAACTACAGTCCGGACAAAATCTGGCCCGTGGTCTATTTCTATATGGCCCATTACCTAAGAACGGGTTTTATACTGTTTAAGTGGTTGAAAAAAATTTTAAAAAGAAGAATGTCCTGACACATGAAAATTATATGAAAAATAATAGAGTGTTAATTAATGAAGTCTTATGGGAAGACAGTCACGCCCATTTATTTACCTACTGTCTCTGGCTGCTTTCTTCCATGTTACAACAGGAGAGTTGAGTTGAGAGATGAGATAGGAAGAGAAGGGAAGGGGAGCAGAGGGGAGGGGAGGGCAGAGTAGGGGAGGGGAACGGGAAGAGGAGGGCATGAGAGAGGAGGGGAAAGGGAAGGGGACTACAAGAGTTAGAAGGGGAGGGAGCCGAGGGGAGGGGGAAAGAGAAGGGAAGGGAGATCAGTTAGCAGGCTCATAAAATAATCCATGTAGGCAAACTCTGGCGTTGGCAATGAAGGTGAAGAGTTAGATGAACTAGAAAGGTATTAAAGAGCTTGAACGCATACAACATGTTCAAGGAGACAGAATTTGACCCTAACACCCAGCTTTCTAACGTAGATATATAAATGAAAATAAAGAATTGCAATAATGACACTTATTCAAAAGCACAAGTGGCAGCGTATTTGTAAAAATAACTGCTGTTTTTAAGTGTGAGAACAATGCATGTCATAAGCTAACCTAAGTAATGAGCAAAATGAGCTTGTAATTTTCTTTTACTTCTACATTATAAATATCAAATTATATCTTCAAACTATGTTCTTTTGCTTCAAGTCCACCCAGAGGTACCTCTGAAGAAAAGCCTGGTGATGTACTTCCAAAAACAAACAAACAAAAAACAGCCATTGAAAACTCTATAGAGCACTCCTACTCTGACACGCTGGGGTCACCATGAATCACAATTGACTGGATGGCAACTAGTTTCATTTCTTAAGAATATTCTAGAATCACTTGGGCCAACAGACATTTACACACTCGAAATAAAGGTGCCAGATTTCTGTGAGCCCCAGGACAAACACCTTAATGTCCAGATTCTTTGGGAATATTAAAAAGACCAAGATGAAAAGTCACAAAAATTATCACGTCAGCCAAATGAATTTTAGGTTTTGGAGGCAATTTTTCCTTTTATAAAAGTTGATCGGATAGATTTATATGGTTAGATTACTAAATGTGTTTCATGGTTATTATTTTGTCTGTTTTTTATTTTCCATAAGCCCCACACAAGTATTTAAAAAATACTCATGTACCTGGTGTTTCTAAGGCAGAAGTCAAATTCCACAGGAAGGCACTGGTAGCATTTCCCAGGTCTTCCTCAACTTCCTCTCCAGCCTTGAACCTGCCCTCTGGCCCTCGGGATTAAGCTTGTTTAATCCTATGCTCTTGTTCATGATGGTTCCTAAATCTAGAATGAATTTCTCCCACTTGTCTCCTAAAGCTCCCACTCATCCTTGCACAGCAGAGCTCAATATGACTTTTTTTTTTTAACTTTTCAGATCCTTTCAGGCAAAAACCTTTGCAAGCTTGTTTGTATTCTCCTAGCCCCTGATTCTCTTAAATCTGAACTGTCCAATATGATAGCCACTAGCCATGTGTGAAGAGTCCCTGGGTGGCTCGAACGGTTAAGCACTCGACCACTAGCTGAAAGGTTCGTGGTTTGAACTCACCCAGAGGCACCTCAGAAGACAGGTCTGGTGATCAGCTTCTCAAAGGTCACAGCCTTGAAAACTCTATGGAGCCATTCTACTCTGTACACATGAGGTTTCCATGAGTCAGAAATGACTGGACAGCAACAAACAACAACAACAAAGCCTAGTGTGAATACTGAGCACTTGAAATGAGGCTAGTGTGAAATGAGATGTACTCTACATGTCAATAAGAGGTAGGATTTGGAAGACTTAGTAGGGAAAAAAGAACATAAAATATCTCTTTTATAATTTTTATATTAATTATATGTTAAAATGTTATGATTTTAGATATACTGGGTTATATAAAAACATACTATTGAAATTAAGTTCACCAGTTTCTTTTTACTTTTTAATATGAATATTGGAAAATTCAAAAGGATATATGTTGCTCTCAAGACATTTTTACTGGGCAGTGCTACTTTAAAAGAGCCCTCCTCATATTATTTGTTTGCATGCTTCTCATATGTCCCATTAAACTAAAAAGATGGTAGAAAATAAGAGTTCATCAAATATTTTCAAAATTGAATTTTGCATGTGAATCAAATGTTTTGTCTAAATACAATCTCTCTTCTTCTACTTCATGGGAAAATTACCCACAGATTCTCATAGTCTCTATTAGAAAAGGAACGATTTTCAATTTGAGTTGAGTCTTA